CCTCTTTGGATAAAGGGGCTAAAAAAGGGGACTGAGATTCTTTTCAGCTCTATGATTCTTAGGGCTTTGTTCACAGTCTTGTCCCAACTACTTCAAACCAAACTTTGCAAGAGGCAAATACATGACAGGGTACGTAATCCAAACAGTCTCTCTTGAAAGGATCTTTAAGATCTTAAGCACACTAAATGGCTTCACATCCATAAGTTCACGGACCAAATCCAGGCTAAAGTGCTCTCTAAATAAGGCTGTTTATTATTTCCCAAGTTCCTGAAGAAACCATTTTGTCTTGGTATTAATAATAAGCAGCTTAAATCTGGAGACAGAAATGCATGAAACTTCAGTAGAAGAAAATGACCCTTTCTGAATACAATCCAGTTCTGAAATATGTTTCAGTTTGAAGTCCAGCATGTAGTAGCAAAAAGTGAAGGCTACATTTTTATCTTATTTATATTATGAAAAATGCATTTATTGTAGCATTTCTGACAGATATTTTTTTCCACGACCCTTGAGAATAAACACTTAGATTCATTAAATACATAATTATTTTCAGAGGAGCATCTAAGGAGGCAACTAAAATGAAACAACAAAGCCTTATACTATAATGTGAGAAAATCCATTGTCTATAGAAATTTTTGGGGGGGGCAGACTCTTGCGTAAAATCTGAACCTGTTACTTTGGGTTTCTTTTGTAGGGATACAAAAGAAAATAGAAAATACTTTTCTCTAAAATTGTAATCCGGAGTTCTCTTCCAGTAAATCAATCAACCACATTTCTTAAGCACTCGCCATATTATATGAGAAGCCTGGTGCTGTGTGCTCTGTGAATTTAAGGTGTTTGCAACAGATTAAAAATGCCCTCCCCTACCCCTTGCAATAGCTTGAGAGGCTGAATACAATCTGACCTTTGTGTAACTTCAAAAGTGACACTGTACACAGACTGGACCACATGGAGCTCTAGTTTATATTTCAGTAACATGCTCTTTTCTCTATACTTCCTGTCTCAAGATTATTTGCTAAATAAGACCTTCTAACGTGATTTCAATTTTGTGTGAAATGGAAGACATTTTGCACATTCTAGGGTGTATTCTCCGGTCCTACAGCAATCAAAACTTATATATCTAAATTTTCCTGCAGCACTTCAAATTCAGTTCGATCAAAATTGGACTCATTATTTTCTCTCTTATACATATTCCTCCTCCTTCATTCTCTAGGTAATCTCTTCTGAGGCTTTTCTCTATATTACCCATTCTACAGATGAGAAAACTCGGCCTCAGCGAAGTTAACTACATCAAGGTCACGCACTGTAAGTGATAAGGCTAAAATCAAATTCTACCTGATTCCAAACATAGTATTCTTTCTACTACTTAATTAACTTATGAAACAAACTTACCATCTTTTTTTAAACCTAAATATCAAGTGTGTTCATTTGAACCATACCCAGTTAAATAGCCATCCCAAAGTTGCTCTTTCCCGAAGTTCACAGGAAAAAAAATAACATAAAAGTCTCAGAGGTTAAGTTTTCTGGCTTCATTTTTTTAAATATGAGGACTAATCAGAATAAACAGATTAAGATCAATATAATAGAGGAAGTTATACACAATTAAATCGCACATTTCAATAATTTTCATTTGTTCGCATCTTAGAACAACACCTTTGGTGCTGATATGGCATGTAATGAGCATCTTATAGGTATGAATATAATGCAGATTTACAACACTTTCATCTGGAGTTCCTTCATTTTCATTAATTATACAGTAAAATCCTCCAAAGTACTGTTTTATAACACTTACCATTAACTAGCATGGTTAAAGGTAGGCCAGAAAATTAACCACAAAAACCAATCTGTATCTCCCATTCAGAGAGAAGCAAAGGATGTACCTTTATCATCAAAATGTTAATAATAGGATTAATAACATAGATAACAGAAAAGAATGATTTATCTTCTTAGGGTTTTCCTCCTGAAGGCAGATATCAAAGGGAAAAAATATTAGTAACTTAGGGGATAGCCTTTAGGAAAGTCAGGATATTTAGAGCAGAGGACAAAAGAATGCAGACATTTTCCTCAGTTTCTTTTGATGCCTGACATCTAAAAACTCTTTTCAATTCCCTATCTGGGACCCAAGGACCACAAAAGGGTTGCAACTGGTAATGGGTGGCTAAGATTTAGAGCAGAGGACAAAAGAATGCAGACATTTTCCTCAGTTTCTTTTGATGCCTGACATCTAAAAACTCTTCAATTCCCTATCTGGGACCCAAGGACCACAAAAGGGTTGCAACTGGTAATGGGTGGCTAAATATATTTCACATGAAAGGGAAGGTCAGCTGCTGGAAGCCTCCTAAATTTAAAGGAAAGAGAAGGGGCAGAAGTTCTCTCCACTTCTCCCAACTTCACAGTTAGCTGACTGTTAAACAGCAACAACAGAGGGCTTTGTGAGGCTGCAAAAAAACAAATTCCATAGAATGCCAGGGTGAGGTGGTTTCATAGATTTCTCTGGGCAGAAAGCTGGGAATGGGGTCTTCTGAATGCACAGGAAACGAAAAACTCTTGAGTACAGAAAGGAACACACCAGAAAGCAGTTGCCCCGGTTTTTTCAAACACTAGGAATCGGTTCATTGGTGTGGCCCATTATTACGACCCTGTTGTTTTCAGGGCAGCATTCCAGGACTTGTGGGAACATATGCAATGATAGTAAAAAGCTATTCTTTACAGAGATGACAAGAGGAAAGAGCCTGATAGTAATGAGATATTAATAGCATTACATGTGCTTGAGGTGAACAGGTGGAGAAGCCAGTCAATCACATTTCCTGAGATCTACAATAAGGAGAACAGGACAGGAGGGTGGCAGGGGACAAACTGTTACTTCAAAGAGAAAATAGAGGTCATCATACAGCAAATTCCTCAGCTCCTCTCTCCACTCCCAACCTCCACTCCCACATACAGAAATTTATCTCCATTAGTCTCATGTACTCCTCCTCCCCTCTGGTCCTAGAGATTGGCCCTCCTCCTATCCAAAGCAAACCTCTTCCAGCTGAGTTTTAGATTATATTCTCTCCTACTGCCCAGGGACCTTTCTCCATCAGTTAACTCCTCTCCTATATTTTCTACTTCTCCCTTTCTACTAACTGCTTCCTTCTTAGAAAACAAGCAGGCTCAAGTTTCTCCCATCACTGAAAATATTTTCGTTTTTGACTATACGAGTAATTCATAAATGCATGAATGCATACTTGTTAAAAAAATTTAATTACATGTAAAGTTAAATCCCCCTTGAAAATAATTCCCCTCCCCATCCTCAAAACTTCACCATAGTTAGTTACTGTTATCCATTTTACATGCATACTTCTAGACTCTTTTACATACAGCATTGTTTCATATCTTTTTCCATTTGTAAATAATCAGCTTCATGCTCTGTGAATTGTTGGGCAATTTGTTTCGGTCACTCAAAAATATGTCTTCTCAATCAGTAGATCCATCTCATTCTCCTATAATCTGTTTGTACAGTATTTCACAGTATAAATGTACACTTTATTTAACTAGTCATCTATTGATAAAAACTGAATTATTTCCAATTTGTTGCCATTGCAAAAAATGCTGGAAGGTTCAACATTCTTACTATTTCTCTGTAGTACAAGCGGACTTCAAAAAGTTCATGAACACTTAGAGTACAGCCTTGTAACACCAAGGTCAAAGATTCGGTTCCCAGTAT